ATCTCTGTGATTTATTTAACTATTTTGATTTTTTTAAAATGAACGATGAGTTTAACTTTTTAGTGTTATTAAGCACTGTTCCCTTTGATCTCTTTGGCTCTGCTTGAAAGAAAAATGATATAGTAACAAAATAAATACTGGAAGACATGAAATAAATTAGATGACCTGCAATCATGATTTCTATCTCTCCCACTGTTGGATCTTCAGAATTGGTAAGGAACAAGTTCACATCTCCCACCATACAGTCTTCTTCTGTGGCTTTCTGGCTAGACCACTTTTCAGCATCAAGTATTATAAATGTGCATTCTGGGAAATGTAAAAAAAGCAGCAGAATCAAAAAAGATGATTATAAATCTCTGAAAGAAGCATGAACTATAAAATCAAGGTAAATATATATGATTATTAGAAGCAATATTACCTAGCTTTGGTCACTATTCTACTCTCTTACCAGCAGTCCACTTCACATTCTGTAGGCATAGAAAATTGAATTAAAGATTTCTCACTTTACATAAATATCTTCTAAAGGCAATTTATAGTATTTTTCTCAAATACTGCAATCGATTGGCATCAGATAAAAAATAAATATCTGGTCTTTACAATAAAATTTAAGACTGTATTGTAGCTTAATAAAACTAATGTTAAAAAGCCAAAGAAAACAGTTGATCTGTACAACTTTTTGAAAGAAAGACTGACAGACTCCCAATGGCAACTCATTTCAGGATTATGCAGTATTACAGAAAACATTTCCAGCCTGCAGATTCCAATTTCACTGACCACAAAAGTTTGAAAGAGATGTTTTTTCATGTCTGAGCAGTAGAGATCTCTTTCTACATATGTAACACATATACACTGTGTTATAAAAATTTAGCCTGAATGCCATCAGGTTGCACATTTAGGTTTTTGACAGGAGTATAACCTCATTTAAGAATGGTAAGTAAACAGATTTTCATAATGACTTCATGGAATTTCAGGATTACTTCCTTGAAAAAATTCAGGGAAATGTTAAAACATGGAAGATAAAAGCCTGTTCACAGATTAATATTGTCCTTGGACTAACAATGCTGTGGTAAAATAGAAGTGTCCTAGCATCTCATTTTGAGACTACTCTTCCAGGAAGAACTAGAATCAATATTAATATCATGTCTCCTAACGTTAATCTAAACAAATGATGTAGAAGGATTTTTAAAAAAAGCTAAAAAGACTAGAACTATCAATTAATTTGTATTCCTTCAGAAACCTTTCACTGGATATAATGCAGTAAAATATCCCATAATATACATAAATATTTGAAATCAGATTTTCTATTATGTTACAGTATCCCTTTGTATTTGATCATGATTGAACTGAGTTACAATAAAAAGCATTTCCAGAATTGACAATTATGAAATTGCAAATTTTAAACTGTAACATGGAGTAGTAATGGTCTAAAAATGCCACTTGGAATTATCTGTGGGGCTTGTCATGGGTGTGTGTCATACTGAGGAGATTAACAGACTCCACCTTCTCCCCAAGTGCATTTTGTTCTCTTCCTTTGTTAATCTTTAATTTTCAAGTCAATTTTAGTGTCAATATTTATTGTTTTAATATTTTATCTTGTTGCTTTTATCAGTTATAAGCTGCCTAGGCAAGATGGGTTGCATTTAAGTTTCATAGATAAATAAAATTTGTGAAATGAACCACCCAACATATGTGCAGACTACCCATTTTAAGGTCTTCCCAAATATTCAGAAATCTCACTGTCTGCATCTTCCCGCCAGCTGCACTGCATCTCATATTCCTGTTCAAGGCTGAGTGGTTCAGATGCAGTCAGACGCTGTAGTTCCTCAGACTTCATCCAATCATGGTATCTAATCAGAAAATCGAGAAAAAGTAAGTCGGCTTCTTTAGAATATTATCCACTATAAGTTGGTGTGGTGTTAAGTACACCTGTTGATGAAGTTGTGTTAGTGATACAATGAAACTCATATAGGTATTTTAATAGCCCCCATTCAGATTAAGAGCTGCCATCTCAAATTCTGCACTAGCCCTTTCCTCCAGTTAGAGGTTGAACTTACAGGTAGTCCTCAATTTACAAAAGTTCTTTTAGTGACCGTTCAAAGTTGCAATGGCACTGAAAAGTTGACTTATGATAGCTTTTCACAATTACAACTGTTGTAGTATCCCCATGGTCACGTGATCAAAATTCAGATGCTTGGCAACTGACTCATATTTTATGACGGTTGCAGTGTCCTGGGGTCATGTGATCCCCTTTTGCGCCCTTCTGATAAGCAAAGTGTCAGCGTTCCAGGGAACCTCCATTCCAATCAGTAACTCCGAGACAGGCATCACCCCAAAAGTACCTTTATTAGAATAGCACCTGGCACATCTGTGAAATCTTCCATGCTTTGGAAACCTTATTTAACGCTGCCACAAAGTCAATGGAGAAGCCAGGTTCACTTAAAATAACTGCAATGCTTTACTTAACAACTGTGACAAGGTCATAAAATGAGGCAAAATTCACTTAACTATCTCACTTAACGACATAAATTTTGGGCTCAGTTGTGCTTGTAAGTCGAGGACTACTACTATGACTAGCTATCATGAGAGGAGAGAAACTGAATATATTCAACATCTCCCACCACCATCACAAACTAAGTTATCTTTGCATACCTAGGTACATGAGCAGACGTGTATGGTACTAGGGCTACCCTCTTCCCCTCCAGTACAGTGTTTTGATTAATCTTCATAATCTGAATCCTGAAACAATAAGTGAGAAATAAATCTGAGTAGAAATAGTATTATAATTAACTCAAGACATTTACTGAACATTTTATTTTATTCTTATTACTGTATGTTTAATTAAAATATATGAAATATAAAGGTATCTGCATATATGAGTCATGAGACAAAAGTATGCTATAATAACCAATCCAAGGGTTATATAGTTCTGTATTCTCTATGGCTGCTACAAAAGGCAATTTATATTTCATTTCCATTTTGCTTTTTTTCAACTATCTTCAACTTTTAAAAATCCAGTTATCTTAAAGTAAACAAAATAAAGATCTGGAACCATGAACTAATATCTGGATAGGGCAGTGTCCACAGCATTCCTTGGAAAACAGTTTTAAAACTTACATACAATACCCAGATATAACACATAAAAGAATGAATGTATCACCAAATATTGATCATGGATATGGAATATGGAATTTTCTGTCCCAAAATTCTTTGAAGTGCCATATATTTCCATCCTTGCTTTATATTGTTTTTTTCCTATTTAGGGACTTCCCCCACTTAGCTTTGAAAGCTAAAAAGCAAACTGATAAAGACTAAACTAATTTTCTTCTACCCCACCACATATGCACTAGTCCAGTGTTTGATGAACAGATCAGGCTGTTTTTAAAGCCTCAGTAGATTTGTCCTCTGATAAACCAAGATCATAATCCTTTTTGAACCCTATATGGGATGTCAAGATATAGATATAACAATGTTTTTTTTAAAGCCGTCACACTTTTTCCTTACACAACACATATCTACGTCCTTAGAGACAGCATGTTGACAAAATGAGAGGGACAATAGTATAGAAGATTGCCGGTATTTTCTAGGATGGAAAATGCCGATGCTTATGTAGCACTGATGAATCATGAGTTAAATCAGGAGTGGGTAGGGTATGAAGGTAATGTGGAGAACAACTGAAAGGCTGGGGGCTCATTAAAACTCACGATGAAGGGTTTTAGATGTAGAAAAAAATAGGTCAGAAGGAAAAAAAGATCAAGCTAAACTCTAAGCTTAGGTTTGTATAGCACATTGTAGCTGCTGATTAAATAAGCTCCTCTAGTTTCTGATTTTGAATATTGAAGCAATATTAGGAAGAGTTTTTGAGCCATTTGTGTTGGATACTTTATAGGTAGCCAAGTAAACAAATCAATGGATCATCAAACCAGACTTCTCACTGGAAGCACAAATGATTATGTGCCACCAAATCATTTGACTCCTAGTGACCACATGATTTTCTCCATGATCCCTCACCGGTTCTTTAAAGTTTCTCAATGAGTCCCTCATTGCCACAGAAATGCTGGTCCACTCTCCTCTTTTTTTTCCACCTTTCCCAACAATAGAGCTTTTTTTCCAAAGTTCTGGTCTTTACATGTGTCTAAGTGGGATAATTTGAGCCTTGTCATTTACACCTGATTGAATTATTTGCTCAATGACCCACTGGTTTATTTGCTTGACTATCCACAGTATTCACAGGCGTATTTTCCACCAAAGTTCAAAGGCGTCAATACTTTTCCCTTCTTCCAGCTTTTGTTTTCATGTAGTGTAGCCAGGCCTTGCACTCTTCTGATTTTGTTAGGTAGAGAGGCTCAGATTATCCAACACATCCTCATGGAGAAAATTAGTGTCTATGTGTTTGATGTTTCAATCGGAATACAGTTGGAGGGGACCTTGGAGATCATCTAGTCCAACCCCCTGCTCAAGCAGGAGACCATTTCAGACAAACTAAGAGTCAACCCTGACTTGCTGGCACATAATCAACCAATCATGTGAGTCATAAACTGGCCAAATGTATGTTAGACTTGCGTGTTGACGACCGTACCTCTGACTGTTTACTCATAGAGAAAGAAATCGCCCCACTGAGTTCCGACGACCGTCCCCTCCTTAAGCGTGTTTCGAGCTAGGCTTTTAATATCTACGCTCCTGAAGGAAAGAGAGCAAAAAGCCAACAAAACTCACGAAAACATACAAAACCCACCCGCTCCGTCGCCAACGCCAGCACCAACTGCCGCCACATTTAAAGCAACAGGCGACAAGCGCGCATCCCCCTCATTCGCATAATTCCTCGATCTCCACGCTTGCGCAGTCATAAGGCCCTCCTACCTTAACTGAACGCTACGGTAGCCGTACAGCCTCAATCTGCCTCGCGAATCTCCTCCTCGATCGACGTAGGGAGCGGTTCGGACAGCTGTACAGTCGCGGTTGTTGCTTTCCGTAGTCGTTGAAGTGGGCCCCTTTTGGCCGGGGTGGCACATGCGCTATCCGTGGCTTCGCTTCCCCGGGCGAAGCATGAAGGGAGCCGGCTTGGAGTTGCGGGTGAAGTCTCTTCCTTGGGGTTTCTTTGGGCTTGTGGTTGTTACCGGTAAAGGTTTGTTGTTGTTTTTTAGCGATAAGGAGGGTCGTTTCGTGATGGTTTGGGGGACGGCGGGAAGCGGCACGGTGAAGCAGCAGCCCTGGGAGGCAGAATGGGAAGAGGAAGCTGCAGTTGGACGAGCTTAAGGGACGTGGCATGCCCGAAGCAGCTCCAGCAGACGTTTGGCTTTCTAACAGCAGGGACTGCAGCCCCGAAATGCTTTCCGAAAGAGCCCGTGTAGGATGTTGCCTAAAATACCCCGAAATCAGCTGGGCGTTTCCGTGGCTTTGCTAAACCGAGGGGGTGACTTCGGGTTAGGACGGTCGTCAGCATCGTTTCAGGGGCTGACACGCGTGTGCACCGGCGGGTCTGTGTTTATAGTTGGGGAAAAGGTCCGCCTCGGTTTGAAAGGCGTACTTGATCGCCAGCCTCCGAAGGATGTAATCTAGAAAAAGATGTGCAATACTGTATATGCAAGCAGTAAGAAAAGAGACTTAAGGTGCTGCTTAGTCACATCTTTATGCCTGTTGGCTTCTCCAAATCCATATTTTGTAATCTGAATTGCATTCCTTAAATGAGATTTTTTAAAAAATATATAGTTATATATAATTATGGATTTAGTGAGCACAGGGTGAAGTGAAAAAAATATTGGAGAGAGTCCCACCCTGTAATTAGTCCTGGATTCAAGATACATTCATTACTAATTTATGAATTGGCTCTATGTCGATGTTTTAGAAAGATTGTCCAACTTTATTCCATATGGTCAAAGGGTAATGTGTTTAAAATAGGAGCTGATGGTCTATATGTACCCTACAGGCAATTCTTGACTTACAACAGTTCATTTAGTGACTCCAAAATTACAGTGGAACTTAAAAAGTGACTTGTGGCTGTTTTTCATACTTATGATTGTTGCAACATTCCCCATGGTCACATGATCAAAATTCAGATGCTTGGCAACTGACTCATATTTTTGATAGTCACAGTGTCTGGGAGTCATGTGATCAGTTTTTGCAATCTTCTAACAAGCAAAGTCAACTGGCAAGCCAGATTCACTTAACAATTATTAAGTGAACTACTGCAAAGGATCACTTAACTACAGCAAAAAAATCATAAAACAGAGCAAAATTCACTTTTAAGAACTCTCTCACTTAGGAACAGAAATTTTGGGCTCAATTGTGTTTGTAAGTCTCCTACCTTGTACTTTTTATTCATTGTGTATGTGTGTTGTTGAAGCAGTTTTTAAAAAGACAAGTTGTGCTCAATTGAAATTATGTAGTTTCACATGGGAGTCAGGTGACCTGTGCCACTATACTTTTTGAAAGCTGACTTTTAAATCCTATAGAAAGCCTGCATGGAATGGATGATGTCAGTAGAGAAGAGGTAAATGAATGTTTTGTCTTTTAAAGATAAAACCTATTGTAGATGCAAGACAAGTAGTTTATTTCTGCTTAGTGAAAAGAAAAGGTTATCCTATAAAGTTCAGAGATGTTGATAAAAAGAGGATTATTTTGGGCAGCACTCTTCATTTAATATTTTTGTTGATAGAAGAAAAATTCCTGCAATTTGAGGAGGATTTTCGAAAAAACGAAGTACTCAAAAAGAAGAGAGTATTGGTGTTTATCATGAGCATCCTTGTATTTAAATTGGAATCAGCGTATATATAAGTTGTATATAAATATGAGGAGTAAGATTCTGCTTTTTGAAAAAATACCTCTAGCAGTCATAGGCCATTCCCATTTCCACAAGGTTTCTAGATTGAAAGGCAAACTTTTTGCCTAATAATTGTATGAGTTTGGTTTAGTACTTGTATGGGAAAATAGATTAGATTGCAAAGTTGAAGAAATCTCTTGGAAGAATCTGATGGCAAAACACTTTGCATTATTCTAGCAAAACAATATGGACTTCGCCAAATGAAAAATGAAAGCACCCTGAGGCTAGCCTATGTCACACAAAACCCATTCTCCCATACCAAATTGTATCATATGTAGCTTAAATGAAAGGTTTTAAATAGAATCATAAGTGATAGAAGGAAGCTCAGAGGTCTAGTCCAGCCTCTGTTCCATGCAGGATTTTGTGTGCCTAATTTCCTGATTGAACAATTGATGCAATAAGAATCTGCTAAGAAGCCTGCTCTCAAGAGCAAGTCTTTCCTCCCTGTTACTGTACTTTTCCCAGAGTGGTTGTAAATTCTGCCCTCTCTTCCTATTAGCTTTAAAGGTAGCATTTTAAACTTGTATGAGGGATTTGCTTGCTGGGGAGTAGTGCATAAAAAGTCATTAGGAAGAGAGCTCAAAGAAGGCTTTAGTTCCTAATAGCCTAAGTCTTCATTCACTCTTCCTGATTTATTTCCTGATTGACGAAAGCTCTCTTTTAAGCTGCTATACCTTGGGGTGGTCCTCAACCCTAAGAAACAATGAGAGAAAGAACAGCATAGAAGTCTACTAATCATATGTGCGTGTGTGTATATGTATATGTATGTACACTCCGCTCGCAACTTCACCGCTCCAGCACAGTCTTAGTTTCCCGGACTGCTTCCCATCTTCATAGTGGCCATTTTGACCACCGTTGCAACTTGTCTTCGGAGGGGGTTTATCTTGTCAGGGAGGGGAGATACGGCTCCCCTATACCCTCCAAGCAGTTCCCCCTTTCTTCACCACCCCTCCATGGTGGTTCTGGTCTCAATCAGGACCCTCCAACAAGCGCGCCCGGAGCGAAACCGCGCACAATCGCAGATTCCACTCCAATGGAAGAGCAACCAGAAGCTCACTTTATTTTAATTTTCTAATATGAAGTAATTTCATATGTTAATAGGATCTCATAATTAGCTTTCCCTTGAAATAATGTGTTGTCCTAGGATGCAGACCCAATTAGGAGCTAACAATTAAGGGGAAGAGTGCCTTTTTCTTACAGCAAGTCAGTTTCCAGCAGAAAAAAATCTTAGTTAATGGCATGGAAACCAGTGATTTTTTAAATTGGTTAAAGCCATGATGGTTAATTCTAAAGTCTCTGATACTATATTTATCTCAGTAAAAAATTTTATGCGGTGGATTAAATTCTTAATGATTATACATAACTTTGTAAAAAAAAAAAGTTAACTTTTGTGTTTTTCAGGTTAACTGGAACAAGAACGACTGACAACTTATCTGCCTCAAGTCCTTAAATTCTTTTCAATATGGCTGGAAGCATTACTGATACAGGGGAGCTCTACTCTCCCTATGTGAGTGCTTAGCATTGGTACAGTCAATTAATGCATGTTTTATGTTTAGTTCAGCATTAGCATGCAAAATTGTAATTTTATGTAGGGCATTTGTATTCTTGTGCTTGTTTTTTTCTTTTCTCCAAATTATGGAACCTATTACAGCCTCTTTCTAAATTGGGTTTTGATACTGAATATTGTTTTGATCATTTCACAACTGCATTGTAATCGACCTAGAAAAGGATTTGAAAAGACTGGTAAATGATTATACCTATACTTCATATAAATACAAATTTAAAGAAAATATTAGTGTATAACACATTTTTAAAATAATTTTTTCAGTGCCAAAGGGTACAGAAGCAAATTTATAAATAAACAAGCACAATACAGGCAACAAGTTTTTAAATGAACTTAAGAATGTTTCCTGCTGACTAGCTGTATTACATAATAACAAAATGCAGAGAAAATAGTTAATTATTTAAATATTATTAGAATGTTTTGTTTCATGTTGTTTTTCCATTGTTATATCTTTGCTTAATGTTGATGGTGGTGTCTTAACTTGAGACAACTTAAATTGAGATCTTCATGACTCATTATTTCCAAAATAGAAATACTAATAGCAATATTAAGCTTTTTTATATTTTATTCAAAAATATGTCAGGGTATTTAGGTGCAAAGGCACTCTTACATTATGTTCTAATAGAAGTGGAATCCAAATCCAAAAAAGAGAAAAGAGAAAAAGGATAGAAACAGAACAAAACAAAACCAAAAAATGTGCATAAAAGACGAAGTAACAAAGATATACAAAGATTGTCCCCCTGGTTAAATGCTGATAAAATATATTTCAACTGTAATAGTTTTCCCCTTTTGCAAAATAGATCCTCAATTTATAAATTTATAAATCTCTATTTACTAAATTACTATATCACATTAAAAATATTACAAATATTAAATTTTTATCAATCAACCAATTTGAACCTACCAAACTATCTACTGTAAAAAAACAAGTTATCCCAACAATAAGCTAAACTTCAATGCCCTGTATTTAACTCATAGAAAGTTCACAAATGGCTTCTAATCTATCATAAGACCATTGCAATCATTATCCCTGATCCATCCAGGATCATGTATCTTCGATTGATTCTTGGTAATAAAACTTTTCCTTGAATTATTTGGGATCTTTCCAAATAGTTGCATCTCACTCCTCAAAGTCATATATTATATCTGTAGCACTTGTTCAATAAATTTTCCCACAAATCAAAATACAACATCCCCCAACAGTTGTCTTCTGGTTACATATAATAAGCCTATTTCGCAATTTCCATCTGCTTTCAATTTAACAATTAAAATGTAAGCTAAAACAAAGGGAAACTTCAAAACATGATGTTAAAACAAAGACATGCCAAAAAAAACCAAACAGTGATAAGAAAAGATGGCGAACCAACCCTCTGCTGTTCCTACCAAGAATCACAATCCAGTGGACTCTCTTCCCAGGCAAGTACACAGTCATCCAAGAGTCATCATGGGTTATTCCAATATCTTTGTCTTAAATTACATCCTGGTTCTGCCCTTTCTATAATCTGATGTATTCTATCTAACCATTAAAATCATAACTCATAAATTATTTTTTCTGTTTTATACAAAAATGTTGATAAAAGGTTTCCAGTAATAAACATATGTATTGCATTTTCTCTGATCAAACAAATTAGTTTGGCCATCTAAGCAAGTTTTGTTATCTTCACCAACTATTAATCCATTATAGATATTGCCAAAGTTTTCCATCTTTGTTGAGATTCCATCATGAATCTCACCAAAGTTATATACAGAAACAAAATTCTTTTGCTTTTTTTCCAACTGTCCATCAGTTCCAAGAAGAAGTGATTACAGCACTTTCTAGATCAGTGGTCGCCAGTGGTGGGCCATGGAGAAATTTTGGTGGGCTGCAGAAGAAATGGCCCCCGAAAGCAATTAATCTGGGCCTCACAGTTCTTGCGCCTCTTGGCTCTTTGAGGGACCCCAGAGTCAGGTCTCTGAAATGCACATGCCAACCAGCTCCCACACACAGTGGCGGCAGCAACAACAGTCCCCTCCCCCAGCGCCCACTGTCAGCTCTCCCCATTCTCCAGCTTTGGATTGCTCCCACCTCTCTCTCTCTCTTTCCTTCTCCCCCACCCACACCCACCATCTCATTTCCTTCAGCCCTCACTGCCTCTCCCAAAATCAAAGACTCAGAGACACAGGCAATGCCGTCGCAGCGGTAGCGCCCGAATTGCCTTAGCATCCTTGGTTAGTTCAGGAGAAGGAGGTGCTGGAAGAGGAGGCAGCAGTAGTGGAGAAGCAAGCCAGGCATTAAAAGACTGGGAAGAAAGGCAGCAGCTGTTGCTCGTGCATCTACTGGATGGCTGCAGCAAGTACCCATTGCTGCCGGTGCTGAGAGGCGCTACAGCTGCGGCAGCTTTGCCTGCGTCTACAAGTCTTTGATGTTGGGAGAGACAGAGAGGGCTGGAGGAGCTGAGAGCTGTGCATGGCTCCGTCTCCATTTCCTTGCCTGCCTCCAGGTGGGCATTGGGGAGGGAGGGAAAGAAAGAAAGAGAGGCAGGAGCAATCCAAAGCTGGAGAATTAATGGGGAGAGCTGACAGTGGGGGCCGGGGGAGGGGACTTGTTGCCCCTTTCTGTCTCTGCTTCTCCCAGCAGCAGTTGCCCTAAGGCCCTTCAGCACAGACACACACACACAAACACACACCCCGCCCACTCTTCTGTCTCTTAGTTTGGAAGGTGCAGGTGGGGGGGGGAGGCTTCCAGCCCAGCACTCCTCCCCTCTCCCATTCCAGGCAGCCAACCTGGCAAAGGAGGGAGAGGTTTCCTTTGGCTTGGGGGAAATATGAAATGACAGGAGACCAGATTTTTTGGGAGGGGGCTCTGCTTTTCTTCTGTTTGAGTGGGAGCCGGTTCCTGCCCATCCAGAACTTCCGAGCCTCCAGGCACCATGTGGCTTCTTTTGAATCCCAGCAGTATTAAATCCTCCCTCTTTCCCCCCAAAGGATGAGAGAGGCCCCTCCCTTCCTTTCACTCTGCCCTAGTTATGATTAAGCATTTACAATTTTGTTATAATTAAATACACACACACACATATATAAATTATTTTTACTATTAAATTTATATATTAAATAAAATTCTTATATTAAATATATTATCTTTTTTAAAAAAAAATTGTATTAGTGGTCCTCGGGATTTAAAACTATGAGTTTGGTGGTCTCTGAGGTCCAAAAGGCTGGCGACCCCTGTTCTAGATTACCTAGTTTATAGGAGAGTTAAGTTTTCCAAATAAAACCAGACCATTATAATGTTAAATTACAAATTGCATTACATGTTGTGATCCAGTTAAACGATGCATTTGCTGATCAGATGCTGATGAGAACATAAGGATCTTGTTCTCCCAGAAAGAACATGATGTCTATATATTATTATACAGTCTTTGAAGGCTATAGTTTACACTTTTGCCAGAAATCTTATGCTATATTGTGCTCTTGGTTCATTTTATTCACCATATATTGTAGTGCAAGAAATAAATATATTTTGACAGTGAAGATGGAGTTCTATAGAGAGAGCTGTTTTATGTACAGAATCTCTAATAAAGCAGTTGAAGGCAACAGTGATATTTTCTTTTATTTTCCCCTTTTCCCCTTTTTTGTGTTTCCTACAATTCTGATAGGTATGGTAAATTTTACAGAATTTGGCTTTTTTCTGCCATTATCTTGTGCTTTTAGGAAGTGTTCTATGTTTAATTATACTGTATGAATTTCTTGCTCAGAATTGGCTTTCAGCCAGACTAATTCTCTTCATACCAAGTACACTGTGCTTTTGAGTGCCTTTTGTGCAATGCTTTCCAAAACCAGCACTATTGGGGTAGGTAGCTCACTTGAGAATTCATTGATCTATTTCAGACCTAAGGAGGAATGCTTCCTTATAATTTGCAAAAGAGTTTTTATAGGAGTGTAACAAAATGGAGTAACCAAGCATTCTTTGCCATCCTGTCAATTGTCTTCCAGTACGTGAACTGTACTTCAAACCGTTAAGCTCTATTTGGGAAATGCTGATAGCAAAACAAATTTAAGGTTTTCAAATATATAAAGAGGGGGGGAGGAAGGTGAAATAAGCTAGGAAGCTGCCTGGAAGAAAATTACTGAACTTGGAAAAAGGAGCAAAGATGGTTGGTGAACCAAGTGGGATTTAAGCAGTTTTGGCTGCTGAAGAAGTGTAGGTTCTAAAATAGATGGAACACAAGTTTACCAAAGATGTAGGTGGACCAGCCTTCAAGAAATAAATCTGTCTTGCACAGAATTATGGAAGGAAAAGATAGTGATAAGTAATATAAATGAAAAGTAATATATTGCTAGATAAATTTTATAGGAAGCCCTTGGTTAATTTTAAGGATTTTTTTTATGTCTTGCAGGAAACATGATGAGAATTAATGCAAGTAGGAAGTTCTGGATAGGTAGGAACAGATGGTAGCAAGCCAGATTTAGATTGCTTTGTCTATGGTGACCTTATTTAGTTCCACCCACTGCTCTACAGGCCCCATTAAGCACATCAGATCCATTTGGCAAAGTCACTGACTGAGACATTTCTTTGCAGGCTTATACCATGCCAAATGAACCACCTGCATGAGTTGAGAAAAAAAAAACCCTTCATATCATAAAGCAGTATTATTACTGGAACAGTTAATATGAACTAACAAATATTATTTTCATGGGGCTATTAGACTTCTGAAATCACATAGTCATAATATCTGAGTTTGAATTGCTCATGTGGAGATTGGTACTGCATATTGTATACCCAATATGTCCAAAGATGGAACTAACTAGTTTCTATTGAATGTTTCTATTCTTTCATTGTAGGTTGGCTTGATTTATATGTTCAACCTCATAGTTGGCACAGGAGCTCTAACAATGCCAAAGGCCTTTGCTACTGCTGGTTGGCTTGTCAGCCTTATTCTAGTAATGTTCTTGGGATTTATGAGGTAAGATTTTGCTACATGTTACTTCTGTTAATTTGGCTAAAACATCAGGTATGTAGAACTATACCTGGGATTAGCTGCAGCTCAGTGGACACCAAGATATGCAGCTTTAACTTTATGTAGCTCTGTAAATCAAATTCAGCAGCATCTTTGGACCCAGTGGAATCACAGAATTAAGATTAAAAAGATAGAGCTGGTAAAAGACCCGAGCAACAAGTAACATGATCCACAGAATTAAATGGGGATCATAGTGAAAGAAATAAGAAACCGGTCTTTTAATAACAAAAGATCTATTGTTTGACCTACTGTTGCTGCCAGCAGACTGAATTCTTGTTTTAATTGATTTTTGGAAAATTGAAATAGCACAGTAAAGAACAATAGCACTTAGACTTACATATTGCTTTACAGTGCTTTACAGTCCTCTCTAAGTGGTTTACAGAGTCAGCATATTGCCTTTGGATCCTCATTTTACCCACCTCAGAAGGATGGAAGGCTGAGTCAACCCTGAGCCTGGTGAGATTGAACTGCCAAATTGCAGGCAGCCGGCAGTCAGCAGAAGTAGCCTGCAGTATTGCACTTTAACCACTGCACTACCATTGCTCATACACACTCAATATACACTTATTTATAATGATACAATTTAATCAAAATAAATTCTTTCCTATGTCAAATTTTATTCTTAGTAATTTACATAGATATATCTATATTCTTTACCTTGTTATTGCTGCCTTTTTTGTTTTTAAAAAAATCCAGTTTAATCCATATCCATGAAATTTCCTGGTGTTCTCCTGTCCGGGTACTACTAAATTTGACCTGTCCCCCCCCCCCCCCCCCCCATAAATAATAATAATAATAATTATATGCCATTCCTAAATTTTATGAACAACACTTTTTGAACAAATGTGTCCTATTTCTAATGTCATTTTTTTCTATACTGTTACATAGTTACACACTTCTAATGCTTTATAGGGTTGTTTACTTAGTTGCTTTTATTAAAGTTAATGGAAGTTGAATGTTTTCAGTTTGTTAGGCAACCAACACATGAAGATAGTTTTGGGATTTCTTGGTGAATTGAACTGTTATATACTGAATATCACAGAAGTGTTTTCTGAATAGTGTAATATAGGTCTATCAAACTGGTGGTCTAGGGGGCAGATGCATCACGTGCAGGCCATGCCTATCCTGTCTCTGCAAAGACAAAGTTGTGATACGTCACAATACATCATGTGACACAAATCGAGTTTGACACCCGTGATCTAATACATGCAGTTTTGCTATTTAAAATAACTCTTGCAAAGCATGGAGGTTGCAGATCTCATTGTGAAAACTAAATGCAACGCAAATGCATTACTTAAAAGTATCTATGGTAAAACAAGTAAACATTGAGTTGCAATGGAAAGAAGAAGAGATAAACTCAAAAATGTATAGTGATGTCTGAATGTAGAAAAATGACTGCCCGGTACAAAAGAAGTCCATTCAGATGGTTTAGTCCCATAGAGAGAATGAACGAGAATTAAATCATGAAAACCAAAACATGAAGAAAAAGTGAATGGGTAAGGAGAAGAGGGAGTTGGAATGGGATGAGATCTTGGAAAAAGAGAGACATAAGAAGTTCACAATACATCTGAGCAGCCATGATCCCCTTCCCAGCCAGCCAGCCCTGCCTTCTTGTCTGGCCGACTGGCTGGCATAAATCCTCGCCGTTCTCCTCCTCCCCACTCAAGTGGTGACATACACATAGGAAGCGGTGAGCAGGCAGGGGCTGGCTTCCTGGGTAAAAGGGAGGTGCTCAGAATGCAGTCAGCCTGCAGGAGAAAATGGTCCTTAGGGGTACCAGGCCCCATGCACGCTTGCTGCCTCCTGTCTGTGTGCCCAGGGGGTGGAGGTGGTCTGGCGGATCTAAGGCTGACTATTTTCTGTCCTGGATGGCTGCCACTGGGTTTGGATCAGCACTCGGTCAACCTGGGCCGGGCTGAGGCGCCGCAGGCTTCTTGTTTGCTGTTTCCAGGGCAACTCTGCGAGCCAGATCTAACCACATCGTGGGTTAAATCTGGCCCGAGGGACTTGAGTTTGATGCCCCTGCTCTAGGATCATGGTTGTCCAACCTTTTGGTTGACATGGGCTGTATTGAGTGAAGAAGAATTGTATTGGACTGAGTGTAAAATATATAACATAGTTAATATACATAAATGATACATTTCCTTTATTTCAGTATTACCTTGTGGGGCCTCATTATTAGCTGTCCAGGACTCGGTCTAGATGACATAGTTCTTCCCCCTACTCCCACCAATAATGCCCCCTTGAGCGAAGTAGGGAGGCAAAGATTGCATGTTGTGCAGAATAAAAAAATAGATTTAACCTCTCCCATGAATGTTTGCCTTAAGTATAGAGAATTCATGGTAATGGATCAGTTTTATACCTCTGAATGAGCTTTAAAAATGCACAGAACATGCAAGAATTTGTTCTGTACTATAAAAAAAAGATGCAATTTTTTTTTTAAAAAGACATAGTTCCCCTCTTAAATGCTTTCTATACAGGTCATAGATGTATGTGGTCATTAATGGTCAGTTTAAATTTGTGGACTTGTTAGATGAGTGCAACTAATTATTTACAATTTATGCCTACATTTAATGGTTCTACTGTGAGCATCATTACTTTCCATTGTAAAAGTATTTCCTTAAACAGATTTTCTTGTATCCTTTCTCCCTCAGTTGAGACCGTGTTGTTTGCAAATTAATCTTATAAATTACTACTGAAGGCATTGAAAAAAGTGTTGGTTTCTTTGGATGAAAAACATAAATCTTTATAGATTGCTTCTGAGCTTTGTAAAAGAGATTATTTTAAAACCTTAAGGCTTATCTATAATTTCCTACCTTGTGCTTTGATTTCTCTTCCTGTTCATTTCTTTGTATTGATAGGTTCTGTTCCAATTTGTAATTACTTGTTCTATTTGTGTTGTATTGTCCTTGAAATTTTTCTTACTGCTGTCAAGTTGGAAATGTTTCCTGAAGTATTACCCTGATACTTTCATTTCTCTATAAGCACTTCTGAATCTGTGATATCCCTGAAGTATGTTTGATATAGTAAGAAGCCCTTAGAGGGAATCATTTTCTAGGCCCCAGGGAATAGTTACTATATTTTAATCATAGCAGAAATGATTTCTCACTCAATTTTCAAAAATTAGTTCGAACTGTAAAAGTAGCAAAATATTATTTTTGAGGATTACATTATTCTATCCTTTGCTAAAAATAAGAAACAAAATAACCATTTAAGTGGGTGAAAGCTCAACAAATCAAATTGTAATGTTGATCTCTTATTAAGGGATCGCTTACTCCCAGTTATTGTCTTAGTAGATCTTAAAAAGTATTTTCAATCCATAATACATAGCAAGGAACCACTGACCTATTTCCATATAATATGGTAAGTTAGGATTTTTAAACCATGGTTTGTAAAATAAATATAACCTGATTTATATATACTAAGGTGTACTTGATTGCCCAAACCTGCCACATTTATGACTTAATATGATGTGTGAAACCAGCCCTGGTATATCCATATAATCTTAACTATTGATGTTCTAACCTTTTTTTGTAAAGAATGGCATAAATACATGAATTGTCCCCATGATTATTATCTACTATCTCTGTAATACAATTGCTATCAGACTAAATAATGAAATCAGTGATGTAATAAAAATGTATGAAAGAGAGCCAATTTGGCATAGTGATTAAGGTATCAGGCTACACATCATGAGACCATGAGTTTTAGTCCTGTCTTAATATAAAGCCAGCTTTGGCCCAGTCACTTTCTTTCAGCCCTAGGAAATAGGCAATGGCAAACCACTTCTGAAAAACCTTGCCAAGAAAACTTCAAGGACTTATCCAGGCTATTGGACAAAATTGAACAGAAGGAGAAAAAAAATGAAACATACCTTTCCTATCTTCAGTTTTGTTGTTCATTAAAAATGTTGGAATAAAATCTGTCACAAATACGTAACATTGCATTTTCCAAATGTGTCTTTTCCATCCATCTATATTATTTTAGTCAGGTTAATTGTGTTAAACTTTGCCATTTGACTCCTACCATTGAAGCTGTCTGGGAGAGAAGTAAATTGTCAAGCAAAGCTAAGAATTGGAAGATAAACTAACTTGAGTTCTGCAAATCTCCACCGATACCAAGTGTAAAAATGAAAGCCCCACCCTTGCTTTATACAAAGCATATTTGGAAAAAAGTTGGCTGCCCACATTATATCTAACTTTGCTTTCAATATTCAACATTGCCTGAAAACTCCTCAGAATAGAGCTTTAAAATGAATGGGCTAATATAAATGGGATATTGTGAATCATTTTTATTTTTAAATAACTGATATTTTCTCATTCTCTTATAGCTACATGACCACAACTTTTGTAATGGAGGCCATGGCTGCAGCAAATGCTCAGCTTCACTTAAAGAGAATGGAAAAGCACAAGGTTTGTATGGCATGTCTTAATCTGATATCTCTTCAATCATACTGTTACATGGTAGGAAAGTTTTAATATTGCTCTTGTACCTGCCCTTAAAATACAACAATAAATTCCCTACCATTCTGCATTATTTTTTTTGAAACAGCATTATTTTCTGTCACTAGATTGGATATTCAGTATGATGGAGGAACTGGAATTCTAAGTGTCTTAAAGGCCCACAGCTAAAGAGTTTTGCTTTTTTTCCCCAGCTAGTAAATGTGCTTTTAATTTAGTGCTTAATTTTCTTTTACTTATCAGAATTATACAATACTTCATTTTTGAGATCTAGATTAATGTCTTACTCTTCTAGGAAGATAATAATGATGAAGAAAATTCTTCATCTGAAGTTTCTGATAATGAAGTTCTCCCAGATGTTTATGAACGATCAGAAACACGGCCTATTCTATCTGTGCGTAAGTATCCATCTGATTCTATTTTCATCTTGATAATATGTAAGAGTCAATCTTTCTCTACAGTTCTTTGCTAATGCCAAAGGCAAGTGAAAAAAGATCCTTATCCTTTATTTAAACTTTCTGTAAACAATACAAGTGCATCATGAAATTGGACATTAGTAATATGGTACTTTGCAAACCATATTTTAATTGAAAAAAATAGTTTATCTAAGTAGAAAGCTTGTTCTTCTTTTACAGATGACCAAAATGCATATTTTAAAAAATATTTTTCTTGATTGCTTGCAACAATGGTGTCCTTGTAATATGCATATATTG